TAGGCTAGGCTAAGAAAAAGGTGTGGGTCCTTTAATTAGTACAGGTTAACTCTCTTTAATTCCTGAAAACATCTTCTGTTCGTATTTCGGAAAAATTTCAAACGAACCCCTGCGTGAACGAGAGGAAAGAAAAATACGTAAGTGCCAAAATTGCAGTCTCGTTGTAATTTTATATGCTACGTGATGTCCCGAGTGATGTTCTCCTACGTCGTTTCGGCAACAAGAGCATTAATAAATAATTGCACATCACCAATCATGCGTTTTCCCTGTGTTTTCTCTTATAATTGTTTTATACATCTTTAACATAATAAAGTTTCTTGTTGAAGGTATTAATTATGTATAGTTCTTCACTGTTAAGAAAATACAATGAAATGCTCATGTTTTTTTAGTTTTTTCCTTTCTTCGTAAACTACACTGAAGTCGCTAATTACCAGAAGGTGTTGATGCGATCATATTCATTTTATATTAATAATAATTTTAAAAAAAGTTTTCAATACAAGAACGTGTTCGCTCGGGGTCAACACCACTGCAGGTACTTTTACGCGCTGACACAAGTAATGATGCACATTTTCTTTTCTAGTAACATTTTTTCAGTTTTTTGTGGGGTCTCCTGAAATGTAAACAGCTCCTGCAGCCCCCCCTATACATCCGGCCTTGAGTGGAACAATACTTGCCCCAACGTTTTATTACAGAAGTTCTCACCTCGATTATGCAATTGAGACATTCTCCTCACGCATCATTGTATAGTGTGATTCTGTAAAACGTTCGCGATCGACGATTGGTGTGATTATGTTTTTGTTTCCTTCAAACTCCAGCCAATGTGATGATTTGAAAATAAAACATAGTTGTTTCAATACATATTTATATATTTTTTTACTTTATTCGCAATTGAATGTGCATACACCAGACACGAATAAATACTCTTCCCTGCGACGAATGTCTTTCTGTTGAAGTATACTATGATGTATGTATAAAATATTCAATAAAAATAGTATGCATCTAAATCTCGTGACAGATATGAATAAGATTCGAAAGCATAAGAGAAACTGAAGGTTTCTCAATAATCGAACTATCAATATTTATAAGTAGCATTCACAATATGATAAAATGATAAGGGGTGGAAGTATTTCCGCACATTTCTAGAGAATATTTATTAAAATCCTTCCAAGGTTCAATACTTGAGAACACAGAACAGAGAAACGAATATAATGTAAATCGCCTACAGTACAATGCATCGTCTTCTCTACACTACCACTCCACATTCAAACGCCATGAATGTGAAGTGGTCGTAAAGTACGCTTTGCGATGCAAATGAGAGGGATTTCGATGGCGTAGTGCGTTTGCCGCATGGACACCTGCTCCCTCCCAATTACAACACATTTATTCAAATGCCACGCCGCCTCTCGAGGGGCGCCTGAGTCAACGCATCGCCGGCGGACGCTGCACGGACCCTCTCGTGGGGGATGTAAGGAGATCTCACCACAGCGAGACTTGTGACCACATAGGAGTATTCTATTACGAATGAGAACAATGTGGGTAGGCAAGAAACAAATTTAATAGAGACACTGGCAAATGTAATAAAGTTAAGTCTAAGGCGGTACCTTTTTGTACGACGAAAACTTGCCATCCCGGACAATCTCAGCCTGGAACGAATTTGTAAGTTATAATGACCTCTATAAGCCAGAAATCTGTTCAAGGCGCAAACGGAGCGGTTATTAGAGAAAGTAAAGCGGTCGGTAAACCTGGCTAAGAAGGAAATTTATTTTTGAAATTCCGGCACTATTTTTGGAATGGCATAGTGCGAAGGCTCACGGTCTGAGACAATAGAGTGACTGGTGAGTTAATTCTTTAAACTGCTGTTGGGGAATCTGTGGTCAGTTTTGCGACTGTTTCTCTGCAACTTTCTCTCGCTTTGGTGTGATTTTCGCGACTATCTCGCTGCCTTAATTCTTATGTTGGTCGCCCGCATCCCGTTCAATTCTCGAAAGCGTCACCACGTTCCCTTCATCCGACAATGGAATTCCCGGAATTCTATCACGATATCCTAGCCTTGCATATTCTACATATGATAAACTTATTCGTAAATTACGAGATATATGCTTGTCTTTTAAATTGTGTTTTGATGTTGATTTTTTTTATTTTCTACATTTTCATTAATATTCATTTGATATTACGTTTGATATTTTGTTTCGCTAGCAAAACTATATCGAAAATACTGAGTTTAAGTTATATGTTGAATTTTTGGCATCCCTCTACAAGACGAACCCCTATCAAGATGGAAATATTTTGAAGAAACCATGTTTCGTCTCAGGCAGGTTTTACTATAATAAACCAGTGTACCGTACAGGGAGGCGTCTTGGGCGTTTTCTTTGTTGGTCGAAGGCCCCCGCATGTCAATTGTCTGCCCCGCTGTCGCTTGGCGTCGGGAAAGCTTTTTACACGGAGAATGAGTTATAATCAACGCGAGCCGTAGGTTTTCAGACAATCAATGACAAATTAATTTGAGGGCAAACATTGTTTTATCTCCCTTCGTTTTGATTTTGAGTGGATAATTCATTTCATTACGGACACTTATTTCAAGATTTTATAGTTGCCGGTGTTTAGACATTTGTAATAAAAAGTCTCTCTCCGTTCACATAAGTTGCGCGGAAGGGAATTTGAATTTATAGTCGAAGGAGAAACTCTTGGGAACATTCTTAATTACCGTACCACTTTTAGTAGTAAGCTATCGAATGGTAGAAACACTATATTCATCACTTAAAAAATATTTTTCGTTAGACAGTTCTGTATACCGATTTAACGCAACCAAATGCGCAAAGAAACGGACGTTGGACGTAAAATTCCTAACGGCCGGCGTACGTTAAGGATTTTACCATCCAACGTCCGTTAAAAACAATCGAAATAAGTCGTAACTAAAGATGGTTTATTAGTACACTTACTCTAAGAAATTACTGTTTATCAGTTTATCGTGTGCATGCGAAGATGGCATTTAGAAAAGTATTGAACGGCACACGGCCGATTACACTAATAGCAGGCACTTTCTCCGTATCGGCTTAGTGGCGTTAATAAATGCAAAGAGGAACCTTGATGTGAGCCCTTGGGGGCAGGGGGGGGGAGGGGGAG